ACAAATTAGCAAAGTAAACAAAATAATAGCCAAAAGCCAACATGGGTTTGTCAAAAACAGATCATGCCAGACTAATCTTATTGCATTCTTTGACAAAGTGACAAAATTAGTGGATCAGAGGAATGCTGGCAATATAGTTTACTTGGACTTCAGTAAGGCATTTGACAAGGTAGACCATAACCTACTACTAGATAAAGCAGAAGAATGTGGGTTAGACAGCATCACCACCAGATGGATTTGTAACTGGCTGACCAACCGCACTCAACGTGTAGTCCTCAATGGAACTGCGTCTATATGGAGGGAAGTATGCAGTGGAGTATCCCAAGGCTCTGTTTTAGGCCCAGTACTCTTCAACATCTTAATCAATGATTTAGATGAGGAATAAATGGAGAACTCATCAAATTTGCAGATGACACCAAGCTGGCAGGAATAGCCAACACTCCAGAAGATAGGCTTAAGATACAGAAGGATGTTGACAAACCTGAACTATCTAATACAATGAAATTCAATAGTGAAAAGAGTAAGGTTCTACATTTAGGCAAGAAAAATGAAACACACAGGTACGGTATAGGTGGCACCTTGCTCAATAGTAGTAACTGTGAGAGGGATCTTGGAATCCTAGTGGACAACCATTTAAATATGAGCCAGCAGTGTGCAGCAGCTGCCAAAAAAGCCAACACAGTTCTAGGCTACATAAACAGAGGGATAGAATCAAGATCGCGTGAAGTGTTAATACCACTTTATAATGCCTTGGTAAGGCCACACTTGGAATACTGTATTCAGTTTTGGTCGCCACGATGTAGAAAAGATGTGGAGACTCTAGAAAGAGTGCAGAGAAGAGTAACAAAGATGATTAGGGGACTGGAGACTAAAACATATGAAGTACGGTTGCAGGAACTGGGTATGTCTAGTTTAATGAAAAGAAGGACTAGGGGAGACATGATAGCAGTGCCAATATCTCAGGGGTTGGCACAAAGAAGAGGGAGTCAAACTATTCTCCAGGGCACCTGAGTGTAGAACAAGAAGCAATGGGTGGAAACTAATCAAGGAGAGAAGCAACTTAGAACTGAGGAGAAATTTTCTGACAGTTAGAACAATTAATCAGTGGAACAGCTTGCCTCCAGAAGTTGTGAATACCCCAACACTGGAAGTCTTTAAGAAGAGGTTGGATAGCCATTTGTCTGAAATGGTATATATAGGGTTTCCTGCCTAGGCAGGGGGTTGGACTAGAAGACCTCCAAGGTCCCTTTCAACTCTGCTATTGTATTATTGTATATCAGTCATGCAATACAAGAATTGCAGACATTATGGCATCCACTAACTCCACCTTTAGAGAAATATTTTTAAGATTGGTGTTTACATAATTGCCTTTTAATGTCTGCCTCAAATTTAGTGCCTTCAAATGAAAAATATATTTTTATTTCTGCCAGGATAACCAATAGCACCCACTTAATCAACCCTGCCTAGTCCTTAAAAGAGAAACTGTTGGACCTAGATGGGTTTTGGAAATCTCAGACTCATAGCTTGGACTTGGAAACTTTTTAAAAAAATTTCTAGAAAAGGCAATGGTGAAATGTATATGCACATTTGCCCAGAAAATTATTTGATACAAGGGGTTAAGTTCATGTAATTAATTATTGCAGTTTCTTTTTGTAAAATCTATATTACTTTTTTTTGTCTAGGGTAAGAAAATCAGGATCACTTTGCTAACTTTAAATTTAATTATACAAAAGATTTAAAATTTGAGATGTTGATTTCAAAACTACAAATATTCTGAACTCAAATGTCCTCAGCTGAAATACTAGATAAATAGTATTATCTAGTACCATGATGACGAAGCTAGGCACGTGTGCTACAGGTGGCACGCAGAGCCATTTCTGAGGGCACAGGAAGCGTTGCCCTGTCAGCTGATTTTCGACCTTGATTTTTGGCCCTTTCCCAAAAGTTCGGAAACGAACTTCTGGTTTGCACGTTGGGCTGCTTTTTGCCCTCCGGAGGCTTTAGGGAAGTCTCCTGAAGCCTCAGGAGGGAGAAAAACGGCCCAATGGGCAACCCAGAAGTCCATTTCCGAATTTCCGGTTTGCGTGCTGGGCTGTTTTTCCCCCTCTCCAGGTTCCTAAAAAGCCTCTGGAGCCCGGGGAGGGGGAAAAACAGACTGACTGGGCCCACTGGAAGTTGGAAAACAGGCTGTCTCCAATCTCCAGAGGGCCTTGGGGGGGGGGAACGACTCCACACATGTGCAGGGGGCACGGCATGGAGTGGGCACATGAACTTGCACAATAGCGAACGCACTCATGCTTTTGGCACCCGAGGAAAAAAGGTTCATTGATCCAGTATTAGATTAAAATAACAATTAGTTATTTGAATTTACTTACTGTGGACTCAATTTCAGTTTTGAAACACATTGCTAAATAATAGTTCTATTCCTAAGGGATAAAACAGAAGCTAGAAAGCATGTGGCTTATTTATGGGAGAAAAATGGGATTTATACAATATAACTGGGAAGTAAGGAGAAATTATGTTAATTAAGGTGCGAAGTGTTTGGGGTTCATATACTATAGGTTAGATTTTCTCTAACAGGAAGAAATTGTGTTCTTTATCAGCTCCGTGTTTATGTAGCTGTGAATTTGTAATATCTACACCCGGAATTATTCCATTCTGTGTAACATCTCTTGGATCTTCTGTTCTTTGGTTGTTTCCTTAGATTAAGAATAAGCTGGTGGAACATGCTGATGTGCCAATAGATGTGTTGGACAAATATGGATTTCTACCCAGGTTCCCTCTTACTCAACTTGAAATTTACAGAAATATTCACAATCTTCCACTGTTTGTATTTAAAGAGTTGCTGCTTAATTAGTCTCCCATCTTAAGAGTTCTTATTTTCAGGAGAAAATAACCAACTACATAATAGGGATAGCTATTATACTAGAATAAATTTCAAGTCTTTAGTAGTTGTCTAGACTGATCACTTGATGCCACAAAGTACCTTAAAAGACACCCCTTGATGCCCCTAAGGTAATTTAGACATTCTTACGTGCCAAAAGATCACTGTAAATTAGGAATGAATGCAAAATGCTGATACAATAAGCAACTGGAATTCACAAAATATATACATTACTGTATGTATATACAGCTATACTGACAAGCTTGGTTGTTTACAATAGAGAGCTATTTTTACTACGAACTTTTCCTTTTACCAAAAAATAAAATTTAAAAATTGTTTTATATCAAGACTCTAATCTGATAGCAGTTTGTCTCAACAATATCTTGCCTATTTTCTTTAACAGATGCTTCTTGTATATAATCTAGACCTAGGCTCCCCTACAGCATTTGTGGTCTTATGCTCCAACCTATAAATATCAAGCTCCTTCTCATCCAATTTCAAAATCTGTTGTATTTTCCATAGATCCATTTTGATGCATATTTTTTTAAAAAAAAAAAATTACTGCCCAGGATCAGTATTAGTACAATCAAATCACTCCCAAATGGCAGGGAACAAAGCAGTTTTTACTGACAATACCCATTGAATCCCTAAGTTATCTTAACTCACCAACTGGCAGGCTGCTGGATCA